CCGTCGGCGCGCGGGGCGTGCCGCGCCGCCGCCCCTCGTCCCGCTGTGCGGCCGGCATTACGTGCCGGCGACGCCCTGCCTCGCGGGCAACCCGGTGTTCCACGTGTCCGACTCCGGCGTGGCGTTCGCGGGTGCCAACGTCGCCGACTTCCTCCTCCGCGCCTTCGCCGCCGAGCCGCCCCCCGGCGCGCCGCTCCGGCGCCAGCTCTCCGCGCCGGTCCCGCCACCGTCCGCCGCGCCGCCGTCCACGGCGCGCCGGAGCCTCGACTCCGTCACCGGCAGGGCCCCGCGCTGGATCGAGTTCTGGACCGACGCCGCCGCGGCCGGGGACCGGTTCTTGGAGGTCCCCACGGGCGCCAGCGCCACGAACGCCGCCGCGTCCGGCGCGGCGCCGGGGTGGCTGCGGTCCAGCCTTGAGGAGGCGGCCTCCATGCTGACGCGCGGCGGGTGGGGCTTCCGCGAGGTGGAGGAGATGATGACGGGAGAGGGTCCCAGCGGCGTCGGCGAGGTGAATGTGGTGGCGTTGGCGTTGACGGTCGACCGGTGCTGCGGCGACCTGAAGAGGGGAGGGTGGGGCGCGGAGGAGGTGGTCGAGATGCTGGGGGCGCTGCTGGGGCCGAGGAAGCCGCGGCGGGCGGTGGCAGCGCTGCCGCCGGACGTGGCCGCACGGGTGGGGCGGCTCGCCGAGGCCGTGTCGCGGGCTGTCGGGTCCCATGCCAAAGCGAAACCTCCGAGGCCATCTTGATAATCGAGGAAGGGAGGGTAAAAAAAAAAATCACTGTTTCCAAGCTTTTAGGACTAGTAGGAAAAAAAAATTCTCTGTTTTCCCTGTATTGAGTACAGTACGTGCACACATAGCCGTGTACAAGCAGCATGTGCCTTGTATGTTTTTGGTAGATCTGTCATGTACATGTTAGGCATGCTAGAGCGAATTAATAAATATAAGGCTCAACGGAAAATTCATGTAATCAGATTTACATCTGCAAACCGGGATTATCAGCTTGTGGCCACTGTGGTTAAAATATGAGATACTGTCTCTGTCCAAGGATGCAATTCGGTCCCGGAATGTGTCAAATTTATAGGAAAATAACATTTATAACTCTAAATAGATATACTATAAAAATATATTTCGTAATTAATGTAATAGTACTTATTAAGTATTATAAATGTTAGTATTTTTTACACAGATTTGGCCGAATTTAAAATTATTCGACTTCTCAAAAAGTGACAACATTGCCTTTTTTTTTAGGGGGGGGGTTGAGAGTATTTTACAATAATATTTTTTTCTTCTTCAGAAGTACTCCCTCTATCCATTTTAAAAATGTCGCTACGGTATTTATACTGGTCAAATTTTTCTTAAGTTTGACCAACACAAATAAAAATATTAGCAACATTTATATCTCCAAATAGTTCATTATGAAAATATATTTAATTCAATGATCTATCTAATGATACTAATTGCATATCATAAATATTAATATTTTCTTATGTATATTTAGTTAATATTTATATATACTCCCTCCATATCAAATTATAAGTCATTCCAAAAATCTTAGAGAGTCAGTTTTTTAAGTTTGATCAAATTTATATAATAAGATAATAACATTTATAATACCAAGTAAGCATCATTAGATTCTTCATTAGTTCTATTTTCATAGCATATCTATTTGATGTCATAAATCTTTGTGTTTTTCTCTATAATTTTGATCAAATTTAAGATGCTTTGACTCTCCAAGATTTTTTGAAATGACTTATAATTTATAACGGAGAGAGTATTTAATTAAAATTAAGTAAGTTCGACTTCTCAGACTGTGAGAAGGGCAGTTAAAAGGGACGGAAAGAGTAGTAACACTAGTAATGTGCTACTGAAGGCTTTGTAAATTACTTGGAGGGCGACTGACATTGCGTTCCTGCTTCGTCTGCTCCGAGTCTCGGCCCAGCAACTCAACAAGCATCCAAATTCCAAATGCTACTCTTTATCCATTGAGGTCCCATATGAAATGTATGAAAGCTTAATAGGACTCGGTTCAATCTCACATGCAGATAAAAATTTACGCATTCCAAACAGTACCAGAGCTAAGTTTCCGCTACGAATACCAGCGTCGTCGAAATACCCACAAGACAAGAGTATCACACATGGCTGTCCTACTGTCTCGTAATATGGGGGCAGGTATATATCTCAACGAAAAGCGTAACCAGAATGAAGAACGACAATTGGTGAACTTAGCAACTAGCACGGCATTCATGGTCTCGGAGCAACGTATGGCATGTATAATATATCCAGCAATGGTGAACCAGTGGTTGCTACATTATATTATTATACCTTGAAGCGGCCACAAGGAGCTGCTTCCATGTGCCCATACCATACCACGTTGTCACCCAACAGGAGAGGCGCCTGCGTTCAGCCTTGTAAAGTTGCCATCCTTGTGCTGCAGCAAGGGCTCCTTCAGAAAACGTCACACCAACCGGCGGCAGATAAGGCTGCGTGTGGAACCTGCAAGAAGCAGTTCACCACATGGCATTAGGAGGGTATCCGAGACCACGAGGTGATCCTCACCCAAGTGTCTTCTCACTAACTCATGACCAACTGATTATCGCCGCTTGCCGGGCAGTTCCATCTCGGCCTGGCCAGGAGACAGATCCGCCCGACAATGCTATCTCGTCCTGGAGACACATGTATCAGGTCTGAAATAAAAGAACACTACTGACTGGAATTTTGTAACCATAAAAGTGCAAACATAGAATGTAGAAGTATCTCCAACACGAAGCTGACCAGCCTTTTTCTAATGTTCCCTCAGACACCGCTCACCGCTCAGCAGTTATCTTGTTCAGCACTGTAAGCTTGACAATTCAATATTGTAAACAGTTGTGCGGAGTAGTACTGTAATCACGCCACACCAATCACCTGGCTCCCTTCCAGAAACAAAAGCTTCAGTCAGTTCAGTTTGCAACAGCAAACTAATTCAGCACAATCAGATAATATAACGTGAGGCAGTGTTTTTCAGATGTTGTATACTATAGGCATGTTCCCAAATAAGTTATGTTAGGAAGTTTATAAAAAAGAAGCACAATGAACTAGCTTAATGTAACTAAACCAGGTCAAACATAGTATCAGAGCCTAAAAAATCAACTAAAAAACACATGGTAGCTATAGGAGCAGCCAACATAAAGATCTACCATATGATTAACACTTCCTGCAAATAAAAATAATGCACCAACTTATATTGATGAAAAATACATCAGGCATTACGATTGCACGTTATGGCTAATTGAAATCAGCCAATATCCATATGTACATCATATGAGAAGTTTGATATTAAATACACTTGCAATTTGCAAACATAAAGATTCTAATCAGATGACCTGATAAAAGATACTAAAGTTATTTTTCTTGGTATAATTGATATAATATAAACAAGAGCATAGTAAAGGTTGGATATGACCATCCCTAGTTGTCCAAAAGAAAACAAATCATACTACTTATTGTTATTCTCACTCTACAGAAAAATACATTACTAGATCTAGTAGTAAAGCAATCCATTTTCAAAGCCTTACAGTTTGGTAACAAGGATGTGGCACCCCAACATTTTCTTGGAATAGTCACAGCACTAGGGAACTCCTGGAGAGTACTATACTTGCATACAGCTAATGAAACAAACTGTTGCTATCAGGGCCCATCTATTCTTAGACCCAGAAACCATGTTGTATCGCAGAATAAACTACTGTTGAAAAAAATACAATACAAGCTACAAACATCTAACATGGTTCTGATGTATCACAATTCTAACACTCATAGCTAAGATCCATAAAAGATGAAAGTGGCAGCTAGCTCAAGCAGCAGTGTACCATACTGTTAATCAGTTCCTCAGTGCTACCCAGAAAGAAGCACCTCCATTTGGGTTTGTCTTCTGCCACCGCTAGAGCTCTCTATACCAGGCCACATTACCAAACTGTGCAGGCCCCAGCAACAGTTCACCATTTGGATGTCCTGCAATAATTCATAGGAGTTTATGGCATTAATGCAAAAGCCAAAAGGTGCCTTCTTTAGTAAATGATTCCTCAACCATTCCATGTTGACCATGTGGCAAACCTTCACCCAGTGTTACCTCATCCAAGTTTGACAGCTTCATTTACTCCATTTATTTCCCTCCTTTGCAACGGGTGTGATTGGACATGTACAGACGTACAGTACTACACAATTTGGTTGCAGAGAACTGGGTGGTCATGCATAAGGAAAAGGTTTTTCTGTCTGATGTATTATAGATTGAGAGCGTCATTAGTTTGTCCTTATCGGTCTGGAGTAAAATAATGAGACACTGACAGTTTGTAAACATGAAACTGTAAACAAAGAACAGATTTAAGCACGAAGCTCACAGACTTCAGAGACAATTTGTTTCTTTCTGGAACAGCGACCAGATTTACCAAAGTGTGTTTCCAGGTCTTTTGTGTCTCTCTTTTTCCAGAGTAGCGGTCTTCCAATTTTGGCAAGTAAATCCCATGATTAAGTTTGTTAAGGTATGCAGAAACTGTATAAGATACTTTACCAGAAATGTACCGTATGCAGAAGTACATATCGAATTTTACAGATGTTAGATGCTTCTATCCTCTAAAATCACCCAGGATGTTGTATTAAAATATGACAAAGTGCCAAAAGAACAAGGGCAGGCAGCACAGCAAAAACTGCATACTAGCATCAGACTCTACAAAAACTACTCATTTTTTCAGGTTCAACACCAGAAGATCCAAGATAAAATAAAGGCCTAACTCTGTTAAGAAAAGCTGCAACACATTTTCAACCGAAGTTATTCACTACCAGATCAAGGATATATGGCAGCTGTATTGCAAGACAAAGAATTAAACCATTCTATCTTTGGCATCAGCAAAATACTTCAGTTCAGTCCTAAACCTCATCAACACATCAAGTCACATTTGATGACCAGGCAAACTCAGGGAGAGAAAATGTTGTATGGGGGAAAATAATATATTATTATGTGTAACTGTTACCAAAAGTCTCCACAAGAGCAGTGCCCATCTTTAAAGTGGTGGAACCGGTTTGCATCCCGGACAATGATCTCTCTTTCAGTTATTTTTGATATATATTTGGTAGCATTGTGACAATCCCCACAGACCCGCAAATTCTTGTATATATGGAGCGGAGTTCTTGGAGGAGTATTTATAATGCCAAAGGCAATAGCTAATCTCTCACTATGATTATTCAAGATCTGTTCCTTTTCATCCTCCTCTACGTCCTGTAAGACAAAACTGTAGTCAGGAACATAGCCTGCACTTTTCATCTTGGCCAAAAGGTCATGTAGCTCTCTCTGGATTTCTTCATGCTGAGGGTGGGGTTCTGTTTGTGTACCACTGTAAAATACACTCACTGACCCTTTCACCTCCATTGAACTCCATCCAGGAGTCTTTTGTAAATTCTGGTGCCTGACCAAAGACCTTACTGCATCAACTCCATCCCATTTCCCAATCTTTGCATACATATTTGACATCAGAACATAATATCCAACATTCTTGGGATCAAGTTCAAATAGGTTTTGTGAGGCCACTTTACCCATTTCAACATTCCCATGAATCCTACAGGCGCCAAGCAGTGCGCCCCAAACAGCAGAGTCAGGCTTAATTGGCATGCCTTGTATGAACTCAAAAGCTTCGTCCAACTGACCAGCTCTTCCAAGCATATCTACCATGCATGCATAGTGCTTTGCAATGGGCACAATACCATAAACAGTTTGCATCAAATCAAAGAAACTCCGACCTTGATCAACTAAGCCAGCATGGCTACAGGCAGCCAATAATGAAACAAACGTGACATTATCAGGCTTAATTCCTTCTTGTTGCATTTGTGAGAAGAGATTGAGTGCCTTTGCACCATGCCCATGAACCCCAAGACCAGCTATGATGGCATTCAAAGGACCTGTGCTCCTTCTAGGCATATGCTCAAACAAAAGCATTGCTTCTACTAGCTTCCCACATTTAGCATACAAGTCTATCAGACAAGTACTGACATACACATCAAGATTTAATCCAGTCTTAATCGACAGTGCATGCATTCGCATTCCCTGCTGCAATGCACCAAGGTTCGAGTACGCGGGCAAAACGCTGACAAACGTCCCTTGAATTGGCTTCAGACCCTCATGATTCTGCATATCATTGTATATCCTGATTGCCTCATTAGCAAGTCCATTCTGCATATACCCTGTAATCAATGTGTTCCAGGACACAACATCTCGATCAGGCAAGTTATCAAATACCATCTGGGCAGCATCAATCTTCGACAGCTTAGCATACATATCAACCATAGCATTTCCGGCAATGATGTCACCCACATCCCAGCCCCGCCTCCTTACATAGCAATGCACCGACTTTGCACCGCGTTCATCTCCACACTGAGCAACAGCAGATGCCAGGCTAACGAGTGTTAGCACATCAGGGGAAACCCCACTTTCCATCATACCATGGAACAGCTCGACGGCAGCAGCAACCTTCCCACCTTGCTCATACGCTGAAATGATCGAATTCCACGTGACCAGATCCCGTAATGCCATTCCATCAAACACCCAACGAGCCTGCGCTAGCATCCCTAGCTTCCCGTACACATCAATCAAGGCATTACACACAAATAGCTCGCCAGACAGCCCGTGCTTCACCGCATACACGTGCATGACCAGAGCAAGCGCTCGATCCCCGAGCAGGGCGCACACTGGCAGGACGCTCGAGAGCGTCACGGCGTCCCCGGCGACCCCCTCGCCGACCATCCTCCCGAAGAGCGCAACCGCGTCCGCGGCCCGGGAGTTGCGGCACAGCCCGGACAACATTGCGTTCCACGCGGGCACGTCCCGCTCGGGCATTTCGTCGAACACCCTGTACGCCTCCGCGACGCGGCCGAGACTCAGGTAGGCGTGGACGAGGGCGCCCGAGGCAAAGACGTTGGGGTGGAGGAGCCCCAGCCGGAGCGCGCAGGCATGGAGCTGCGCGGCGGAGGCCGGGCCCGGGGCGGCACGGACGAGCGGCGGGAAGGTGAAGGAGTCGGGGCGGAGCGGGTGCGCGCCTGCGAGGAGGCGGCGGAGGAGCGGGAGCGCGAGGCGCGGGAGCGCCGCGCGGGAGAAGGCGGCGATGAGGGAGTTGGCGAGGAGGAGAGGTGGGACCTGGAGGTGCGGATCGAGGTGGCCTGAGGTGATCAGGACGGCGTGGGCGCCGCGCGGGAGTGCGGACAGTGGCATTGGTGGGCGCGGCATACTCGCCGCGGCGCGGGAGTGTGTTTTTTTGCGCAATTTTGATTTGGGTTTCGGTAGTCTTTTTGCTCAGCCGCTGGAAATATCGACTTACAGTCAGTGAATTTCCAAGTGCAAATTTACAAGGACGGTGAACAGTGAATCCAGGCCCAATTCTTTTGCCAACATCGTCGCGTCCGATGGAACGACGGCAAGCTGCTGGCTGCGGCGGTGCTAATGGTGGTATCGGCGGTGCGGCGGCACGGGAACGGCACAGGAGAGCTTGATGCATTGCTCCCCGACCCCGTGCAGCAGCGACGGAACGCGTACCCGAATGACTATCCATTCGATGCGATTAGATTCGCAGAGGGCACAAATACTATTTTCATCAGCATATATATCAGAGATAATAAGGGAGTCTTCGCACTGGACCTCAAGTCAAGGCAGCTGAGTAAGATAGGCAAAAGCTGGCTCTACCTATCTTACCTTACATGAGCTTCTACACTCAAGGTGCATACTATAGCCTTAATTACCTTGTGCCTTTAATTTATTTAACATGCATGCACACCTCACACGACTTTCTAAAATCCAGGTGCTTGAGTTTTAGTTTTCTTTTGTGGACGGTTATTGCATATATTTTATATTAGAATTGTAGATTTTGTTCATAGCAATTTTTGTAGGTGCAATCTACAATTTTCGGTACTGAGAATAAAAAAACCGGTAGACAAAATCACAGATCTGACAAAATTAGATTTATCTTGGTACAAAGACAATTAACAATTTATAATTATTTCTTTAGGTGGAGAAGGACAAAAATTTAATATGTTATGACACAAAAATAAATAAATAATTACAAAATAATAATTTATTTGTACTAGTTGGTGATACAATAGTATTGCCTGAAATTATTTTAAAATTTAGGCACATGAAATATAGAAGAAGCGGCAAACTAATTGAGCTCACCATGCATGCATGGTAGTAATATTTAATTCTCTGCCTCGCATGTCTTTTCAGATCTTGCGAAGGGAAAATTTTCACCTCCGTGAAGACGCAATGATTCATCATCCATCATGGCGTGCTCATCATGCATCCTAGTATCTTGATTACTCGAGTTTTTATTCTCAGAAGAAGATGGGCAGTCAAATGAGTATATATGTTTAGTGTTATTATAAGTATAATATAAGTTGTCCTGTAAGAAACAGATCGAGTTGGTCATCGCTGATCGTACTCTCGCTAATCAGGCAGTTTCATTATGAAACAGGCAGAAATAATGAATGATCAAATAATTACTAGTACATATATATTTCATCTAGAAATATTTTTTCATGATCGTAGCCGAGATCCGGTGCTAGTATGTTATTCCGTGGATGGTGGCAGCCCGCACCATGCCATCTTCGTCGCCAGTCAGAGGCTCGATGGGCAACTTTTTTTTTAAAACAATGGCAGATTTTCAATTAAGACGAAATGAATTTTATGTACAATAAAGGTAACCAAACATGGTGCCTACATTCGAAGGCTAACCCACGCATGCGACGCGGCAGAGTACACAACTACTACGAATCATCGTTATCGAGCATGGTTGCATAGCAGCCGGCAACTTCGACCTCCCATGGCAGATCCTAGACAAAACTAACCATGCTAGACAAACGGTCATGAAGCAAGAGGCCACAACAGGTCATCGTTGCAAAGCTCAAGCATGACGCGAAGAGCAGCTCCAACTTTCTGTCTTGACCCCATGCCCCACCTCTGGTGTTTGCCAGACCTCCAAAGCAGAATTTTAGTCGTCGAAGAAGGAGGGTTCGCCCATATCATTGTTGTCGAGCCACATCCCTGACACGGCACCCACTTCACGCTGCAAGTCCCACCTCTTCACGTCAACCGAGCGCCGGGAAGCAAAGATTATTGACCGAAAGGGGACATCGTGGCCTAGACGAATTCCAACAGCGACGCCTTTAGAAAGGGTGCGACGCCGATGGTGCCGCCGGCGCTAGTCCAAGATATGGACCGGGTTTTCGTCCGTGGAAGACATACATGAGAGGAATACAACACCCCAATAGAAAAAGCGGCGCCCACTAGCGTCATCGTTGTCAAGGCTTTCGTCCAAGGTGCCCCCTATGGCAAAACTGCCTAATCTAATATCCGACCAAGAGTATTTGACTTTCATTAGATACTAAGTATCCAAGAGAGTGCACTAAATTATACTGTTCCGTCGAGCACACCCTAAGGGAGAGCTCGAAAAATCTATATTTTTCCATCAGGATCATAAATGAGAGAATAAAGCTTACAACATTCTTAAGCCATTTCTTACATCACTTTATTACAGTAGCAGAATATTAACTCAATTGATTATAACTAAGGATGAAAACGGAAAGGAAATATCCCGAACCGAACCGCATCGTTTTCTACATTTGACCTGAGCGAATTCATATTTTCGAACAAAATACGGAATACTAAATTCGAATTCGAAATTCGGAACACCAAATTCGAAATCGGATCGAATTCGGTTTAGGCTTTGTTCGACCGATTTCTACTTTTCTACTTTTAATTCGGAATATCCCAAATTCGAAATTCGGTTTAAACCAAATTTGGCCCACTACAAGTCCAACCTTAGAAAAAAAATTTTTTTTTCATACGATTTCAGATGAAGATGATTTTTATATGAAAATTGTAGCTCTCAACGAGATATACAACTTTCGAGTTCTTAGTTTTTTCATTTGATGTCTTGAAGACGTTCAAAAAAATTAAACAAAGTCAGCGATATATTAATCGTGTACAAGCGCTTGTTGCCTTAAAAAATCATATCTTTCTTACGTCGTGTCGAATGGAGATACTTTTTAAGAAAGTTGTAGGACTTGTTAATTATTATGTACTTATTAATTGTTATGCACTTGGTCCTACGGTCAATATTCCGTATTGATTTTCGTATACCGACCGTGTTCGACATAATTTCGTTCGAATTAGTTCGTTTTTGAAATTTTTGATATTCCGTAAGTTCGTGTTCGTTTTCGTGTCCGGCTTTACCGCTTTCGTTTTCGTATTTAAAATGTAGAAGTAGAAAACGGTTGAGAGATTTTTCGACCATTTCCGACCGTTTTCATCCCTAATTATAACAGCAAAATATGACAATGTTATCAGAGTTTTCAGCGGAATGTATATAACGACAAGTTTAAGTGCTACCATTAGGAACATTTATATACATGGAATGATAACAGGCGGTAAGTCTTTTCTTTTGCAAAAACATTTTTGTGAAAATTTAAATAAACTCTACGTCAACAACGTAAGGAAATCCTCGCTGAGTCCATCAGTAGGTTTTCACACACAAAAGTCGTCTACCATCCATCGGTCACCTACAACAGATGGCATAAAACCCTGAGTACTCGATTGTACTCAGCAAGACTTACTCGACAGGTCCCGTCTCACGAAAACGACGATTCGTGAATCAATGTATCCCAGCTGGGTACCCTGAAACACACGCCTCGCTTTGCCCTAGGCACAAACAAGACCAACACATTTCACTCATGTCAAGGGGTCTAGGTCCCGTCCAAACTTAGACTCCAAGCCCCCAACACCTTAGACTCGGTATCAGTATGGTGCCTAGACCTCCACCTAATATCCACTCCTAAAAGTCTGTTCGGAAAGAGCCGGAACCCATGACAAGAGCGTAATGAGCCTTCCCACTTCTATAAGCAAGTATGTGCTCAGGATAATAAGTTTGTGACCTGACTATCATCCATAGCAACGGACGGTCCTCAATCGACACAGACGGAACAAGTGCAATCCGAGCCTCGCTCGAATGCCTAACCAAATCCAGATCCAAAGTACCATTCCGTCTGGTCTCCAATTATCCTCCATATATATTCCTTGTGATAGTAATATAATAACAACAATAATATATTTTCTATCTCTCGCGAGTGACAGATAATCAGTCGACTTCTACCGAATCATATAGCATAGCTATCTACACGATCCTGATATACTAGTAGGACTCGTATGATAAAGATATATATATGCAAGTGGTTTCATTCAACTCCTTAAAACTTAATGCACAAGCATAAAATAAAGTGTAAAATAATAGGGGTTATACACCGGGGCTTGCCTGGGTAAGATATAACCAAAAATTAGCATTCCATCATGGTGACACAATCATCAAGGCACCATCATTTCTGCTACTTCGGTCGACTACATGATCCATTGTTGTCCCTATTATGATATACGTGGATGCAACGCAGAAACGTAAACAATCAACGACAACTCTAAAATATGATTACGCTCTGTAAGCTAACGAACTAGCTCTAACGACGATGGATCATATCCACGTCGTCAAGTAAGGCTTCGTCTCTAGAAAAAATGTTTTAGTTCTAAAATCCTAAGGTATTTCGGTATTTTATTGATTAAATATATATTTTTGAACTAGGGCTCATTTAGCTACCCTAGCAAACTAATTATTATGGAGCTACAAAAATTACAGTGAGCACCTAATAAAATTAGGAATTTACTGTGAAAGTTTCAGAGCCAACACTATCACCCATTTATCACCACAATTTTTACAAGTTTATATCTTATAATATTAAGCATATCAAATTAATTAGATAACTCCTGAAAATATTATAACACTATGTGAACAAAATATACTAACTGATAGATCATGATTTTATGAACTGAACAAAATGAGTTTCATAATTTTTGGTTAACTATACAATTTTATATTCAATTTATAAGTTTACCTTAGAAACTAAATTAGAAAATACTTTAGAAAAAAGGAAAAGATCGGCGGCAACTAATTCGGCCCAAAAGACCAGCGCAGTGTGCGACTGCGCGTGCGTCGCTATAGCCCAGCACGGCCCAAGGCCGGGGGAGCCCGCGTGTGGTGGCAGCTTTGTAGAAAGGCCCCCAAGCTTTTAGATATTACTACAACTACTATGCGCACTATTCCTACCGACATCGGTTTTTGCAAATAATTCCCCGAACTCTCTCGTCTTCACAACGGGGTGGTCCCTGATTCCACCACACGCGATGGCACGGCG